GCGTTGGATACACTTTAGTGAAGCACAGTCAATCAGACCAAATCCCACCTTGTCCCATAGGAATGAATAAGCTCTGGGACGGCTACAGCTTATTGTACGTGGAGGGGCAGGAAAAGTCACACAACCAGGATCTTGGTGAGTTGACAGAATTCTCTCAGGCATAAACAATGTAGGCCAAAATCCCGTTTCAAAGGAGCAATCTTCGTTGGTACCGCAGGCCATTGTAGTAGAGGTGGTGGAAGTCTGCTTGGCCAGAATCTGTACTGGGAGCAGTGTCAGTTGTGCCATCCTCCGCCACTCATGTCTGGTGTGTACGAGTTGGAGCATTTGGCAGCTGCTTGGTATGACCGCTTCTCCAATTTTCCCAGGTTTTGCTGGCTCGTGTTTGCCTCGCTTCAGCACCATGCCTTTTATTTACTGCAACATCAATGAAGTGTGCTACTACGCCAGCCGAAATGACAAGTCCTACTGGCTCTCCACCACTGCTCCTATCCCCATGATGCCAGTGGACAGTGTTCAGATCCCACAGTACATCAGTCGTTGCTCAGTATGTGAAGCACCTTCCCAGGCTGTGGCTGTGCACAGCCAGGACATCACCATCCCACAGTGTCCCGTTGGTTGGCGCAGCCTATGGATAGGATACTCCTTCCTTATGGTAAGGATACTATTGCTAATGCAAAGGCAGCTTTAAACATTTCTAGATCTCCTCTTTGACTAGGTGACTGAGACCGTATTCTGAGTTGCTTACAGGAAGCTAGAGCCCGGTAGCTTCTTGCCCTGGTGCATTTATTCTTTATCAGCTGGCCTGCTGTGGGCTTTCTGAGTTTGCCCCGTTTAGCTGGCCTTCTCACCTGTACTGCTCAAGTTCAGTAGTAACATTGATGCAGTAGTTCTGTACTGCCACAGATCATCTTTGTTCTTCAAACCTTTAAATGTGGAAACGCTAATTAAGCTACAGCATTGTCTTAATCCCCTCTCTCAGTGGAAAAAGTAGAACATTTTCCATTGCACTCTCCTAGAAGCTCATTAGTGTAAGATTGTTAGAAAAGTGTGAAGTCAGCATTATTGTTTCCAAATTGTCCCAGCTTGCAAGTGAAAAGCTGGGTTTCCATTATACCAGGCCTGTATATTCAGCCTAAGTACATTCCTTTGCTGCTTCACCTCTAGCCCCGACTCAAAAGACAGATAGACATAGCCAAGGTATAATTTTGGTTGCCTGTTTTACTCCTTTTGATAATGGAACTGGAGGACTCCCCTGTTTACCTCCCATTCTGTTCTTTTGAACTCACTTAAATTGACATCTTTATTTCAGCATACTGCGGCTGGTGCAGAAGGTGGAGGTCAGTCCCTTGTCTCACCCGGTTCTTGCCTGGAGGATTTCCGTGCTACTCCATTCATTGAATGCCAGGGTGCTAGGGGAACGTGCCATTACTTTGCAAACAAATACAGCTTCTGGCTGACGACTGTTGAACAGTCGCAGCAGTTTGTCAGTGCTCCTCCCTCAGAAACTCTGAAAGCAGGACAGCTTCGAACAAGGGTCAGTCGTTGCCAAGTGTGCATGAAGAATTTGTAGTAACAAAAATGCAGTAACATTAACAGCCTTTGTTACCTAAGACTAGACATCACTGATGTGAAGAAGGATAAATTCATAAACCTGTTTTGTGTGTGGTTGATGGGTGAATCAAGACAGCCAGAATTCTACAAAAACGGAGTGTCAAGTCCAGGAGTTTGACTTTGACTGCACACAGAGGAGGAAAAGACCAGTGCTCTGAAACCTCTTTTTTCTATGGAACATGGTGCTATGCTTTTACTTCAGTGGGTTTTTTTTCCCTCATTTATGGCTACCTCAGAAAGTCTCTGCGAGTTCCTTATTCAGACCGAAGAGTAACTGATGTCTCACATTACACCACTCCTCTGTCCGAGGCACACGCCAATCATCAACAAGAGAGACTTTTCAAAAGTTATGCTTTATTAGTGTCTTTGCAAACAGTATTTGGTCTAGTGTAAGGGAATGAAGACTCATTCTCCTGTGAAATACAGAGCTAGCTAAAATTTATCAGTGTATTGTAGGTGACTTAGAAAGACTAAGCATTACTGGTTGATAACTTCCTTAGGAAGACTCAAAGATTAATTTGTTTTGCTTTCCTTATTAAACAGACGGGATGTTCTTTCCTCCAGTGACAGGTAATCAATTCTAATCCAGACTCTCATCCACGGTTGACTTTAAAGAGCTACCCCAGTGGAAAACACAGTTTTTGATGTGAAGCTGAATCCAAAACACCTCTATCATTTTTCATAGCTTTCTATTGAAATATATTCCAGGTTACAATGTCTACTTCAAGGTCTGTGCTTACCTTCTTGCAGTCAAATGATGTGCAGCCACCAGAAACATTTCATTACTATGAACGTAAATTTCCTTTCTGAGGTAGCCTCGGCACACTTGTTTTGTCATTATTCAAGCTGTGTGTATTTGAAAAGTAGAGGCTTTACTAGATAGCATGCAAACTTATGCAAACACACAAGTAAGCAGTTATGGGATGTACATTTTTTACTTCTACAGTCACAACGTGCTGTGTACTCCTTCCTCTGGGCTTTATTTCTGTTAGTTTAAAAAATTCTATTTTTAGTATATGCACTGTTAACCAGTCACACTTTCCTTCAGGGCATAATTAAAGAGAAGTGCCACCAATTGTATTATCCTTGCATATTTTGAGGGAAAGCTGTGAAACAGGTATGCTAATACATATATAATGAATTCATTTAGTTGGACTAAAGTTATTATTATCAACTTCTCTAGAGTAAAGCATATGAAATCCTTATATATTGACATTCCAGGACATTTGAAAGAAGTGCCTTGCAAATACACTATCGCCTTGGCTTAAAAATCTTTAAGACAGAATCGTCCAGAAAATTATTACTAATGCAAGACAGACATTATTTTAAAGTAGTATTTCTTTACTAGGTTCTAGGGCTTCAGCTCTATTCAGCAAAGTACTTAAGAACATGCATACTTTTAAGCAGGTAATATTTTTACCTTTAATGATTATTTACATGCATAATATAATATTATCTTCCTAGATCGGGGTCAGAGAGCTCTGCATGTTCTGAAGTTGAAACACACTGGAGATGAGCGAGGAGTTTGTGAAGAACAATTTAGTCTTTCATTTAACTTATTTCTAATTGTGAAAGACCTCAACTGCTCTGGATGTATCTTGCAAATATCTTTAAGGCATTTTAATGCTCCCGGGTGGCAATCCTTTTATGCAGAATATTCAGTCTACTTCTTAGCTGTCCCAGCACAGACAGATCATTGTATTTCCATCTTGGGTTATGCAAATGCAACTTTAAAACACTGTGTGCACACAGTGAAGCTCACTACTTTTTGAAAATTTGTGCAAATAACTGGCAAACTACAATGAATTTTTCAGCCATTGGGCTCCCATGCTGCTATAAAAAGGAGCATCAATCAGGTATTGTGTCTACAGGGACTTGGTTTTATTTTTGAACATGGACACGGGCAAATACAATTATTTTTTTTTTCCAGGATCAGAGCCTTATGCATTTTAAGCACGGCTATCTTTAGCGAGCGGCTTCTATTGCAGTAACCTGGCTCTACTCCTATCAACGTCCAAACTTCCACCAAGTTCAACGAGCCCAGCCTTTTCCCACACAAGCCGTTCTCTGTCAGGTGCACGGGGTGGGAATTCCAATCACCAGCCGTTCTTCCCTCAGCCCCACTTTCATAAATCTGTTTACCCCCACCAAGAATACTTCTTCAGGAGGTCTGCAGGGCCAAGACCTCCTCTCTGAAGAGTGTTTACATAATAGCTAAGAGCTATGTGGGGAGTAAGTATACTGTACTCCACTGATTTTTTTATTATTATTTTTTAACTTAGGTGCCTCCTTTTAATTTTAGCAGTTACTGCTTGAGACTGAGCATTTCAGAGCAAGGGCTTCGTTTTCATTTTTGTCCGTGGGGAGGAGAGGACTACAATCGCTGCTACATGAACAATAAGTTCATGCTTTGTTTTAAAAAAAACATGCAGCTAATCCATGGGGAGGGGAAGAAAATGATATTTTTTCTAAGTGTATAGTTTCCAAACTGTGGATAATGAACACTGAAGGCAAACAAGATGAAATATGATCTGGTTAACAATTTTCTTGGAAATCCCACTGGCCCTGATCAGGAAGTGCAAGTGAGAGGAGACAGCATTCAGTATTTCTCTATGGTGTCATTTATTGGTGAAGATGGAACTGTGCGATTCACGTCCATTACACTATCGTGACAAAATGACCATAATGGGGACTGTCTGATAGTAAAAAGGAACTTTAGAATGGATTAAAAGATCTTTGCCTTTAATTATTCTGAGCTGTTTTTCTTATGGCTGCTAGAGATATACTCTGCCTTAGAAAGAAAACCGCACAGGCTGTTCTGATAAACCTGTAGAATTAAGGCACTTTTACCAAAACAGATTTCAAAAGGCAACAAGTCAAAACCCAACAATTAAGTAATTTGCATATGCCTGTATATTAAGTTTTAAGATAACCTGGTTTATATTTAGTTCACACAAACAAATTAACAAAATATAGCAGCATACAACCTATGAAAAGCTTAAGAAATTTATTAGATGCACAGATAAAGTGCTGTTAACAGAGAAACTTGTGTAAATCTTTTTTAAAATAAATAAGGTACAGTTAACCCACCTTTGACTCATTTTAGCTCTGAAAGAAAAGTCAGCCTAATGATCTGAATTTTAAGGTCAAGGTGAAATATAACTAGAACAGTGGTTGTGATCTCTATCAACTGTTTGAGTCTCCTGTTCCTCTTGAGGTTTCCCAGAAACAGGAAGGCTATTGCAAAACGTATACATTAGACATAGTTCCTTTTACAGAAACATTTTTGTAATAAAGTGTGGTTGCTCAAATACATGTTAAAATATTTAACAAGGAAACAATTTTCTTCTGATCCAGTCGATCTTTTAAACGAGACAATGTATTTTCTCTACGATGCAGCCCACAGGAGAGAACAGCAGTAAACATCCTCCTTAACTGAAAACTGTTTTGCTTTAAGAACTAAACTATTGCATTATATGAGAGCAAGAAATACCCATTTGGTGTTATCCCTTTCTCCAAACGTACAGCCCAGTGAAATACTTATTTTTGCCTTAATCTCAAAGGTCCGTTAGTCTTCAGGAAAGACACACTTAAAAAGAGGTTCCCTTTAAGGCTGCTCTTATAAGATCTTTTACTGCCTTTCCATCTGGGGAAGCTCTTTGACAGCAGGAACTGTCACTGTTGGAGTTTTGGATGCTACTAGCTTTTTGTGCTCTGTTATCTGTAATCTCAGGCACTTTGGGGCTAACATGGCTGTGTGATTTAAGTCAATGCAATAATACTACCAATATGTTCAATACTCAGAAGGGTCACCACGGTTTCCTTCATACGCTCAGGATTTCAAATTCTTCTTCCAATTCAAATAGCTTGTCAGTAGATTCAATGAGTTCTGCAAAAAAAAAAAAAAAAAATTAAACAATTTAGAATCTAAAGACATGCCTGATTTTGTCTACTTAAAAACACAAACAAAAAAGCCCACTTTTCTGGAGTGTGTCCTGCAAAGTATTTTGTAAGATTAAAAAAAAATATATATATATCTCTGTGCTAGCAATTGTTATGTGGCCTGTTTGGATAACTGTCTGATATTCTGTAAGAATACGGCATTTAATCACGTGGTGATTGCCTGACACTTAGGAAAGCATAGTTATTCCACCTGCGATCATTCTTCTGTTTGCTAATGAGGAACACTCTGCCGCACAACGGTACTTTCAGTCGGTACTGCACCTGCTCCTGTAGTTGTCACTTCTGGCTTTGTTGGAGGTATGAAAGGAGGCCAGTGTGGTGGATGCTTCTGGACCAGCTCAAACATCCGTAGACTCTGTTGCTTTAGAATCTCCTGAGGACAGAACACTTTCATTTTAAAAGATGCCTCAAGAGAACCTTCAAAGACGAAAAATGTCCGCTTAATTAAAAACATTTTTAATTATGTATGTCTATCAAAAAACAAAGGCTTTATGCAGACATACAGTGAAAACCTGTTATATCAAGTACTTGCCATTATGAATCACTGCTACACAGATCTCTGTAATATTTTCCGAGTTGAAAACACACCTGGAAGACAGATCTCTCTTGAACTGTCGTACAAGTTATCAGTGTGTTATAATTAGCTGTGTTATCCATACACCTATAATTTTGTTTATGTGTAGCAAACAGACACCAAGAACATACAATATTTTCTGCCTTTTAAAAGAAAATTACTTGCATGGACCTCTCTGCGTTCAAGTTTTCTGTTGATCCATGGGAACAAAAGACAGGTCTACCAGCTCCAAAAAACCCAACAGATTTTGAAAGGTAGGTTTTGATCAGGAGAAACAAGTTATTATTGAAGCCAAATTCCACTCCTCTTCAATCAGGTAAGCTACGTCATATCCTGTATTTCAGTTATTTACAAACTGCTTTCCTTAGCCCTTTTTTTTTTTTTTTAAATAAATGCCTTTAGATGTTGACGTTACTTCACATTCACGCTTCTGTTGCTTAGTATACCAACTGCATGCAGAAACGTCCTAAAGTCCTTTTCCTGTGGCAGCAAGCACCTTTTGTGTGTCCCGCCCAGGAGCTGGAAGGACTCAGCATTTACAGAATCAGATCTTTTGTGGTAACAGGGCCTAACAGTCATAATTAGAACATGTAGTAATATATTATGTCCAACAATAACAAAGGATCGGGAAGCAAATAAATAAATACATAAATTGCTACAACTCGGCAGTTAAAACTTACTTTTAACATTTATTCTCAGTAAACGACTAAGTTTCAGCCAGTAACATGGTAGTGCTAAAAAAAGAAAAACTTTCAAAGGGTATGTATTTACACCCGTTTACCAAGTGTCAGGGTTTATGGTTGTCAAAGTGCTGAACAAGCTCCAATTAGCAATTCAGTAGTACTGGCTTACCCTGATGCATTAATGCATTCTTCTCTATGGCTCATTTAATTTGCATGCAGAGAAAGATGTAATGGGAATTTCCATTTAAAAAAAAAAAGTATACATTATTTCATACAGAGCAAATAAAATAGTGTTATTACCTTTTGTACGAGACTACACCAGTTATCAAAATCACATTCTTCTTTGCAAAAGAAACCCTAAGGAAAAAATACATACAGTAGTGGTGTTAAATAATAACAGTATGTCAATGAGTGAAGGATGCTGTGGTATTTTTATGCATTGTTTAAAGCTTTAGAAACGTGTCTCAAGTGACAGTCGCCCATAACCCAACCAAAGGATACTGGCATGGGACCAGATTTAATTTCTTCATCTACCACAGTATTCTTGTGACGTGTACTGGATGACTTCTACAAGTAAATCCATTTAGAGATTTATAAATTATGATATAAAATAAGTCAAGCTTAAGTAACTTGTCCAGAGCGACCATGCATCTACAGTAGTGATAGAATAAAATAAGGAAACCTGCTTCAGTTCCTTGCTTTGACCTTCAAAATACTTCTTGCAGGAGGTAAATGCTGCTCAGTAAAGAAAACGAATTACCTCCCTAGGATACAAACAGCCAGTTCCCTGCTGGACCTAAGATTAATGTATCCTATGCAGTTAATATATAAACTGCCACGTGTTGAATTTTAGATCGTAGAAGACAGCCCTGTGATCTTGATTCTGCTCAAGGAAAGGCATTACTGCCCTTATCGATATACAGAGGTATTACTTTGAAATAAAGTATACACATCTATTATGTCCTAACACCTACTAAAGCTACTGAAGGGTCCAAATTCATGATCTTCATTCTGTGTGGGGCCTGCTGGCAGTGGAAGCTCTGGTCATCAACTGTGCCATTTTCTTCCGAATCTACAAAACTTTGAGTGGTGTGAGGGTCCAAATAGATCAGCTCATTGCCTGTATGGGTAAAATCCGCATGTTGATAATAAGCAAGAGACTTTAATAAGCACTTATTCCATCCAGACTTGTAAAATAGAAATTAGATTATCATCACAGGCAATACCTAGACTTTCTAGCTAGCGAGTCTTCAGGAGAACCGGAACGTTAGACACAGTAGTTTCCCACAGGGTATTTAGTATCATTTTCTATTGTGACCTATTACTGTAGATTTTTGGTTGGTTTGTTCTACCTTTGTCGCGTACTTTCCTTTTTCTCTGCGAGGTCCAGTACATTTTTTAAAAATGTCAAGTGTTATAATGCCTAACATTCCACAGATCAAAAAGCACAGGGTGACCACCAATGCAATCTGTAATCCCATCAGGCATTCATTCAGAAACTGGAACAAAGAAGTCTGACTGAAACAGTTCAGGATTTACAAAAGGAAGAACAAAATATCCATAAAATTAGGCATCAAACTGGGGTGAAGTCTGAAAGACTGAATCTAGTATTAACTATTGCTCAAATTAATAAAGGAAGACATGGAAGAAGGTGAAAAAGTCACTGCTATCAGAAAAAGTTTGAAATACGAGAAAATAATTTAAGAAAACTGTGAGGCAAAAGAATAAAACAAGACACCCTTCATTAGAAAGTGTTAATGATTAGGAAAAAAATCAGTATTTTAGCAGTAGTGACATTTGACACTTGTCGAATGCCATCAGCTATTCTTAGTGTGTTGTTCTTGCTTATATCGTTACTTATTTTTACGTCAAGCTTGGCTGCTACTTGTCCACTCCTGTAAGAATGATGCCGTTCCATTCCTGAAGTATTTGAGGTATGTTTCTTCATCTACTCTATTCTCGTGCTTAAACTGCTTGCTATTTCCCCTTCAGAAAAAACCCAAAACAAAACCCCTTTCTCCTTAGATCATATGCATATTCAGAATAAGTTTCTTTTTTCCTTACCTAAAAATCCTATGAAATAATAGGCGTTATTTGGTTTCCCTCCTAATGCTCCCAAAGACTGTGGCATCTTAAAGCATTCCTAAGGAGTTCCAAGGGAGAAAAATGAAACTGTAGTGGGTTTGTTTATTAATGTAACAGATACCTGAACTTATTTCACAATAACAAACAATTTGCTGAAAAAACCCTTACTTTAAACGCATCAATATACACTGGATTTATGTGATTTATCCCTAGCCGTAGAGGTATAATAAGCAAGAGGGGCTTCCAGCCTGTGCAGAATCCTGCCGTGTTCTTATTTCGGCCAAGAGCGCTTCTGTGCAAATGTGCGCTGCTGTGGGCCGCGCTGCTGCTCTGGGGAGGGGACCAGCACATCTTCTCTGTGGGAATAAAACCAGAAATCAACGAACGCACAAAGGAACACAGAGCAGATCTCCCTCTCAATCACGAATTAAGCTACTTTGCCAGACATCTTTACAGAGCTCCTGCTTAAGGCCAAAGGAGCAGGGCACGGAAATCGTAACTATTTAGTAGAAGTAACTCTAGTGGACAGAGTATGTGCTGGCACATTGGTGAGACATGAGATACACAACTGGGGGATGAAAATTTAAGACTGAAGTTACATTTACTACTAGCGTTATTAATACTGTCAAGCTTTGCCCATAAAATGTCAGGGAAATGAAACGGCAGAGATGATGATAGCATTAGAAACTCTTCAGGGAACGCTTCACTTCCAATGATGTGAACGTAAAATAAGCAGAAGTAGGGACTAAAGTAGAAATAGGCTGTGGCTAAATACCACTTGTGAACCCACCTTTCTTACAACTGAAAATTAAGCCTGGCCGTGCGTTTCTCCAGGATCTGCCCCTGGTTTCTCTTTTGCCTGACAAAAGGACATCTCTTTGGCAAACTCTGCATTGAAAACAATTCTCTGTATTTTACATACTGCAACTTCATTCCATTTCGGGGGTGGTAGTTCAGATAGCACAGACCAAACTCCATCTTCTCCCAAGCTGCACGGTATGTAAGTTGGCCACCAAAAAAGCCTACACTGTTCTGTGCTGGCTTTAGTTTTGGACACCCAAAACTTGAGTCTGCATTTCCTTTATTCCTTTTCTTACCCTGGGAACAAGTAGGGATGGCCCAGAAGTATTTTGTTCATATTCAGATACACTCAGGAAAGTGAAGTCAAATCAAAAACTGTAACTGGAGAACTAGTGTTTCACTTACTGATGTCTTCAATGACCACTGTATTGTCCATAGATACATAAACTGCTAATGAATTCCATTCATCAAATAAAGCAAGCTTCCTAGAAAACATTAAGGTGATAATTAATATAAACTAATTAGGACCACGAGGGTAGCTTTTCATTCAGGACAATTAGATGGTTCTTGAGTAAAAAAAATTCAATTGTTTCTTTGGAAAAATGTATTTGATGGTTTGGGTTTTTTTTAAGTCTCCATGTAATAAAAAGATAACTGAATATTTAATATTTAATACATTTAGAAAAATAAATACTGAGTGGTAGCAGGAAAAGCACACACGCTGTACCACGTGAAAACTGTTTTGTCCTTTTGCCAAATGCAGCGACAGTAACAGCTCAGTCACATACTTAGGTTTATTACTTTCTATTGCATTTAACAGCCTCCTCAGTGGGATCCTGCCCATTGTGCCTGGCATTGTCTAGAGAAGGAAAAAATTCCTGTGCCAGTTTTGCACATTACTTTTTGCTTAAGAAGTTCCATGAAATTCAGTGGAGGAACTATTTCTGTGCACATGTGGACAGCAGACTCGGGGTGTTAAAAGCTGGATCAGCTAAAGGTTTTCGGCACCCAAAAGTTAGGAGGGCGGCATTACAGCACACAGGTTTCTGTCCACTTACGCGAAATCCAAAACTCCAGGGAAGGGAGCTACTACACTCTTTAAGCTGCACAGGACGAGTCAGCTGTCTAAAATAAGCCAGAAAAACCTGTCTGTGTGCACTAAGCCATGGAGAATTTGTAAGTGAGAAGAGCTGGGAGCCAGGGCATGGTTTAGCTCCTCTCTCTCTTCAGAACGTGTGTCTGTCCCAGGGCCGCAAAGAATTGCTGCTGAGCACTCAGGACCTGCAGTCTAGCCTCCGCTTGAGATTTGGCACCTCCATCCATCCCTCACAAACAGAGCAAAGTCAACTCTTTCAAGCGTGGCTTCTAGTCTAGGAGGAGCTGCCCATGTTTTATACAGCAGCCTTCAGGCAGAGCTGCAGCTCAGACAGTGAGGAACTGCAGTTCAGTTCCCTCCTTGGCCTGGATGGCTTCACTCTGATGTTTCATACCACCACTCTAATCTGCGTGGTGGCACTCTTGACCTCAGAGCCGTGCCGCTTTGTGGAAAGGACTACGTATCTCCGGTGCTTACTGGTTAGGGCATGCAGACTGCATAGGAGGAGAGACCTTTTGGCAGGTCTTCCCCAGGCTCTTGGTATATTAAAATTTAGAACTCCCCCAATCCCAGCTCAGTACCCGCCCACCGGGCTACAGCAGCACGGTCCGCACTGTACTTGCAAACACACGGCACATACGTTCCTGATTCTGAGAGAGAGGGAGATCAGCCTTTAAAACCGTGTCTTGAGCCTTATCTTGGTCTCTGAGCTTAGCAGCCCCAGGGGAGTACATTCTGAATGAGCCAGTGCGATCTGACTTACTTCAGTACTTGAGCAACTGTATTTGGTCCGAACCATTCTCCAATTGATTTCCCCTCTCCAACACCCATCTGCGCTGTTTTTATGAGGGAAAACACACACACATAGACAAAAAAAAGACCACAGAGAGCCTGGTCACGATATACGTTAAATAGCATGACCTACTAATATTCTGACATACATTCTAGAGCAATTGCAAACTCTATGTAGCAACAACAATTATTTTCTCAATCTATGCTCTTTTCAGATCTTAATGACTGCTAGTTCCTTTACAAAAAGTTTCTGAACTGTAATGAGAATGACAAATATTAGTGTCCTTTATTACAAATTACAGCAATACGCTTTGTGACTGTCTATTTTAATACTATCGACGCTGGTACACAAGGCTTACATACTTTATCAAGAGCTAGATTCTAGTATACAGATTTATTTAGGTCTCAGCAAATAACATTTCTGAATTATTACTTTGTACCCATTTGCATGCATTTTTATTTATATATAAACATATACATTGTCTTCATAATCACCTGTTTAAAATTTTGAATTAACATATTTCAAATTAGAAAGGTTCAACACAGCAGTTTTTTTTTCAGTGGAAAAAAAAAAGTCGACGTGTGTTCTTACCCATTTGGTGGATGGAATAACAGCAATCTTTTCTATCTAGAAAGCACCGTAAGATTCTATGATATTCTTCTGGTTGTTTTTTGTGTTTTTCCCATTGCCAATCTTACAGGAAGAAAGTTATACAGATTAAAAAATAATGTTTCCAGCGTCATGATGATATTTCTAGATAGTAGAAAGCCATACAATGAGATGTTAAAAGACTAACATACAATTAATCTCCAGTATTTACATTTTGTTTAGAGTTCCTAGAAGTCACAGCTAGTCATTTACTATCAAGCTGTCCTTTATCAGCACAGGCTAGATTGTGAAAACTGGGAAAATAAAATAAAAATGTCAACTGCAAATACATTCTGAGTGATCGCTGCTGAGAATTGATAGCTATTGCTGTACGTGAGCTACCAAGATTGTTTAAAACGATATGCTCTGTTTAGATTTTGTTAGGTTTGTAAGCATACATCAGATAATGCTGTAAGATCCATAAAGCGAAGCCCAAACACAGCGCTGGCCCTCTGCCACGGCAAAATCCGAAACGTAGCTTTGCCGTGTATGCTCTTGCTTCTAACGTAAGGTGGTTACCTCCCATTGACTGACAGAGAAGCGCATACATCGGGCTGACGCTATGGAGTGGCTACATACTACAGGTTCATACTCCAGTTTTTCTCAGGTAATCTGTTTGTTTGCCTACTCCTTCAGTTAAATCTTTGCACCTCCGTTCCATGGATTCAGTTATTCAAGTGGATAAATCCTTCTGTGGATTCAGTTATTGAAGTAGTTAAATCCACAAAGCATGCTGCCATAGAAACCACAGCACAACAGCGTAAGGATTACAGACCTAACCGTAATAATTTAATTGACACAGCAGCTACACACGGACCAGACCTGTGATACTTACCTGTGATCCTGGGACGGGAGGTGTTGATACAGGCTTAAGAGCTTGCACTAATGGGTTCTGCTGTGGGGTTTGGAGCTCAGGCTGGTGACGGGTGAGTGGTCTGTGAAGTACTTTGTATGATGTCTATCACTATGTCACTATTCAGTCACTGTGTGCGAACATTTGGTGGCTATGTAAGCAATGAAGAGAAGACCCGTGGCGGCAGGTTTTCCCTTGGCCTCGACTTGGGTATTCCTCAAAAAGATTTATAAAATAACAACAATGGGAGTCCCTATTTGCCCTCCCTCTATTTCTACTTCTCTGCTCAAGGCTGGCATGATTTCACCCTGTCAGACAAGAATAATTCACTAGTAACTCCTATCAGGGCATCAAAGACAGTTTCGTTAATAAATTTAGGTTTTGTGCTTTTATGGAAAACTACGACAAAAATTAAACGGTCTCCAAACAACACAGAAGTTCACTCAGCAACAGTACTCACCTCTTCCTAAATGTCTGCAGATCAGTGCCTGTGCCAGCATCATCTGCCCACATCGCAGCATACATCCCCAGCCAGCATCAGACGACGGACCAGTGCCTCCTATTAAAAAAGTTCATTACAATCCATACGGGCTTTCAACTGAGCGCAGCGCCAGAGAAAAAATTTCGGAGTTAAAATCTCATAACAACTGTCCTACGGACAAAAGGCACTGCGCAAGACCTTTTCTTTCCATATTGCTGGTCTAACTTTACTGCTTGCTCTACAAACATGAAGACCTGATTATATGCAGGCACAAGTAAACACAGTTTTTAATAGCTTTAATATTTTGTTTGCATAAACGGTTAAAATGATGCTCAAAATGTTCTAATACTGTAAAAATAATTTTTCACGCCACGATAACATCACTAATCCTGCTATCAAATTTATAACAAGGCAGCTGGTCTGCTGCATACTCACCAATAGGCGAAAACTTTCTTCTATACGTAAACCAGAGACGAGCGCTTATGTCCAACAATAACTTAGATTTGTCTGAAATATTTTTTGGAGGAAAGAAATTATTAAAAGGAACTTTTAAAACTGAAAAAATCTGATTTTCCCTGTACAGTCAATGTACAGAGTGCAGGGAAGACTCCTGTTAGCTTTTACATATAAGACCCTTAAAACATTTTTTAGCTGTTTAAACATGGAGAGCTTTTGTAGACTGCTAATTAAAGTTACCTTATTAAGGATGAAATAATTATTAGCCAATGAAGTTTTAGAAGGTGTTTGGAAGGACTATGCCCAGCTTGAATGAAACAACTATGGAGAACTATGTCCTCAGGAAAGAACTGGTAAAGCAAGTTAAGAAAGGTGAAGAATTTCCACATGCAAACCAACATGGAATTATGCAATACCTCCAAACCCAATACGAAGTCATTTTAAGAAAAAGTTAATAATATTAATTAAATCTCTTTTTTTTTTTAAAATACATGCACTTACAGAATTCTCCCAAAAGCTCTGAAGAATTCTTAAGAATCTTATTTGCTGCACTTTCTCTGAGCCGCGGCTCAGACTGACTGGCCTTTTCAAGGGATCCTTCAGCCGATCAAGGCTGTATGCGGTACCCTCGGCTGCCTTGAACACCATGCCTGCACTGACGGCCACCGCCTTTGACGTGTAACACAGGAGGACGCCTTTGTCTTCTCCCCAAGGGGCAAAACTCATTTCTGAAATCTTATTTTTATATGATACATAAATACACCACTCTGCTATGACTTTTAGGTCACATATTTATTTTCATCAAAATACAGTATGTGCCCTAGACTAATTTTATTATTATTACTATTATTATTATTATTCTTTTGAAATATCATTTTAGTGGCAAATAACAGGCTGCAGACAGCACCCCTCAAGGGAAAATAACATTAGTAATACTGAACATTCCCCAAAAGTTATTTATTTATCTATTTCTGAGGCATTTGATGTTGAGAAGTAGCCAGCCTCATACCTGACTGGCCTTTGCTACAATCATAGAATCGTTTAGGTTGGAAAAGACCCTTAAGATCATCGAGTCCAACCGTTAACCTAGCACTGCCTAGTCCACCCCCAAACCATGTCCCTAAGCACCACATCTACACAGCTTTTAAATACTTCCAGGGATGGTGACTCCACCGCTTCCCTGGGCAGCCGGTTCCAGTGGTTGACAAACCTTTCGGTGAAGAAATTCTTCCTACTATCCAATCTAAACCTCCCCTGGCACAACTTGAGGCCGTTTCCTCTTGTCCTATCGCTTGTTACGATCTCTTTGCATGAATTATGATAGAAAGTACATCGGTAAACTTCTGGTTTCATTGTAGGATGAATACCGCTGCTTATAGTTGGTTTCTTGTTGATGGAGAAAAATAAACTTCTCTCATGAGACATTTAGAGAACGTAGGAAATCAGGAGCTGCTGCTGCATGTGACTCTATGAATGCTCTACAGATTCTACAGATGAATTTTCATTCTAAAGATACCTGTGTTTAGGTGGTGTTGCCTTCCTAGAATCCACACTGGCTCATCAGTTTCTGGAAATTCTTCTAAGTAGTCTGACAAAATAGTGATCTGGTTTTCATACCTAGATAAAACTGAACAGGAATACACAAAATTCAAACTCCATTTTGTCCCTTTGTTCTTTTATGCACAGCTTCGAGTGCTTAGACTGAACTGGCTGTAGCCAGTCTTTGCAGTCTTTGGGTCTTCTGAATGGTGCTGCCAGCCGCGTTTACGCTTTTCCTTTAACAAGCCGTTCTGACACTGAAATATCCAATGTCTTGGCTGGTTTTTGTTTTGATCCTCAGCGAGCGCTGAGAGAGTAACGCGACTGACACCTTGATTATAAGCAGTCTGGCTGAAGCCAGGAGCAGAAGTTCAGGGTGACTGCAGTGAGGGTAAGATTTGATTCAAGGAAATGAGGAAAGGGAAAAATAGTTCAGGCATCACAGCATATGTGCCCATGCTCGATCTTAAGTGTACAAATACTGCCACTCAAAGCGATTATGTCCTTGTGCTTAATGGGAAGCACGTGAAAAGTGTTAGCAAGACTGGGTTTTACTTTCCTAACTGGAGCTGTGAAACATTTCAGAATAAAAGATGTAGTAATGTTACTATTCAACGCTAGACCTATTTACCGTAAGATAACAGATGATAATACTACTTAAAGAAGGCCAATCAATTTTTAGATAATTCATTAAAGCAGGGTTTGTTGGAAGAGGAAAACAGGCCTTCAAGTGTAAAAATGAATGTAAAATCATTTCTTTTACATACCAATCTTAAGGAATATACTGCCAAAAAAAATCAGCAGTTGAAAGAGAAAGCAAACACGATTATATTTTACTCTTCAACTAAGTGCACATACATACAGTATAAAGAATGAATAATCATCAGGTAAATATTAAAAAAAATAATGTAAAAATATACATATATATACATATAAATACATATAAAAGTTATAGCAATCAGAAGTGAAGTTGAGCCACACCACCCTCTGATTCGAGCACCCAGGGCCCGCGAAGATACACCTGCTCTGCCTGTCGGCACAGGCAGTTGTTAAAGACGACGGTAAACGTCTTTCTTAAGACTGTACACAGGGCGAAGGAACCTCTTACGCTGTGCCCTGCCCTCTCCGTCAGAAAAGTCGTCACTCATTGCGCTTACAGAGGAACTTGTCTCTTTTTGAGCCCAAAGACTCCCACCCCTCGAAATCCAACAGGGGAGCACTGCGTCCCCCCTCGGCGGCCGTGTCTCCCTCCCCCGCCCGCT